CAAGCTTTCAGAAGTTGTTTCTTTTCTGTCGAGGACGGCTGCTATTGTTATTAGATCATTTCGGACAACGGGTTCGAGTAGCTGCCATACAACTCAAAGAGTTTCTTTTAAATATTTCAAAAACTAACGAAGACAGTAATATCAAATTTCGTTAGAGTGTTTCAAACTAACCTCCAAAACTGCCATATAACTCCAAAAGCTAAATTTAAATATTTGGAAAAATAATAAATTCAGATTTATGAAACTTGGCAGTCATGTGTCCAATTATGGGTCACATATATCACTGAAGTTTCGGTGAAATGGCTTAACAGCTTCAGGTAACTGCCATACAACTCCAAAAGGTCATTTTAAATATTTGGAAAACTAATAAAACTAGATTCATGAGACTTATCCAATTATAGATCACATATATCTATGATGATCTGATTGAATGATTTGGTTGGGATAGCTGCCCTACAATTCCAAAAGGAAATTTTAATTATTTGGAAAAATAAAAAAAAATTAAGAAATATATCTACGAAGTTTGGGTAACTGTTGCACAACTCCAAAAGCGGTCAGTTTATACCGAAACGTTTTTACTTGTTTTTAGTTACAAAATTACTTCAGAGATATTTATAACGTATCAAATTAAATCAATTTACCTTAATATTCTTTGTATAGAAAAAAATTATAATATGAAACCACAAACATATTTTTAAAATCTGGAAAATGCAGAAAAGTAGTGTCTGGCTTCTCTTTCGCGGCATAGAATAAAGTTGAACTCGGAAATGACAAAATGACCGATAAAATTAATTCGTTTTTCTTCTAGTCTGTTACAGTCCAGTTCTAGGAGTCTAAAATTTTAAGTAATAATAAATAAATTATTTTGTTTAACCTTAACAACCGGTGATAATCGGGTACCTTTTGGATCAATTAATTGATTTTTTTGCGCAAGACTGGCCGGTTTTATTTACGACTTTAGGTACGCTTTTATCAAGTTGTTACACATACATTATTCTAATTTTAATTTACTTGGGTGTCGTTTTAATTGTAAAAACGTTTGATAACAGTCATTGAAATTGTTTGGCTCCTTCTGGTAGCTGCCACATAACTTCAAAAGCTATTTGGCAATATATCAGAAACTATAAAAGATGTGATATTGAAATTTCACACAAACGAATATATTAATAGGGCCAATGGATTTGATAAAAGTCATTGAAATCGCTTGGCTTTTTCTGGTAGCTACCTTACAACTTCAATAGTAGTGTAGCCATTAAAAATTATTATTAAAATATTTAAAAACACAGTAATGAAATTTTGTATAAATTAGCATGGTAATACGGCAACCTAAAGTCATAGTATGTTCCATTGTCAGCTATGACAAATTTATTCGCACATAGGATAGCAAACTCGTATGGGTATCACAGAGACTCCATTTTTTCTCGTTTTTAATTGATGTTAAAATAATGTAAATTATAATACAAAATGCATGAGTTACCCGGGAACCACGGGTATCCTATTATATAGGTTTCTTTTCGTGCCTGCAGAAGATTAAATAAAACCGTTTTTTTCCACATCCATCCCCTTTTAAGTTACCCTGTAGAAATTTGTTAAAATTTAAATTTTCGGTGCTTTACATTTCAGAAATATTGTATAATTTTTCAAATATAGAAAAACCTTTTCTTTATTTGAAAAATTTAATTTTATATTTATATACAAAATTTTATATATATATATATGCAAACAAATTTTCATTTGCTAATCTTAAATTTATATATTGAATTTGTATAATAAATAATAATATTGTTATGAATTAAAATTTTTTATATATGTATATAAAAAAATATGGAACATTTATTTCAAGAAAGAATAAAAATTAAAAACTAAGTAATATTTATTTACATACATACATATATTATGAAAAATATGCAAAACGATTATCTCAATATTAATATATACAGTACACTAACAATATATTTGCAAAAATATCAAATAAAGCAATTTTGCTTTTCGGGCCCACATTCATGCAGCTACATAAGGCTTTAAAGTTGAAATTTCAGAAAACCATCTAATATTTAAATTTTTTATTGATAATGGTATTTCTCGTGGCCACAATATGACAGGGCAACTATGTATACTCATGTTGAAGTTTATGATATTACCGTTCTCTAACGGTATGAAACGTATCAGTATGATAAAGATTTTGAAACGAAGAATAGGGAATTGTAGATACAGAGAAGGAGAGTGGGCAATATAGATTTTTTAAGTCACAAGTTTTAAGTTACTATTTTCTGCTGTACATATTTTTAAGTTCAGCTGTTTATTCTACTTTGTGAATACAAGTCTTACGCATGTATATACAAAAACTTGTCAGGGATGGCCACTGTCAAAAACAAAAACTTGTATTTGCCAGCGAAATTCCAATTCTGCTGTCCCTAAAAAAAATTCCCTAAAGAAAAAAATGGAAAAACTAGTAAATTTTAGAATTTTTCATATATTCGAATGAAATATTCCCGTAATGCGGGAAATTGCAAATTTCTACCACAAATATTTTTACTTTTGTTTAATTAATACATTTTGGTGGCTACTACATATTATATTTTGGTCAAATTGAGGAGGACACACCTAATAATCGTAATTAAATTAGTTTTATACAACAAAAATCTTAATCGTAATTCCATTTTACATACGAGTATATATATGAAAAGGATTAGAAACATAATCATTAAAAAACTTGTACATCCCGGAAAACTATCTGCCCTGGGAAAAATATTTCGGTTCCTTGAATTTCCAGCTTTGAGAAGTTTTACTGTATGTAATATAAAAATATATTTGAATGTGTTAATCAATAAAATGATAATACTGCATATATATATATATTGCATATTATACATTTTAAATAACATAAACACAAATGTTTATTAAATAAAATTTCAAAAAAAAATAAAATTCAAAAATGAAAAGTTATGAATAAAAGAACAAAAATATTTTCTGTTTAAGTATTTATAATATAATTTAATATTTATAGGTCTATTTTTTGTAAATAATTTAATAATTTATCATGGACTATTATATAAACAGCAATCTTATACACAAGGAAAAAGAAAATAATTAAACTTATTTAAATTTTGAAATTGAAAACTAGAATTTTTCTCGGTCTCGAAAATATTTCAATAATAAAAAATTACAATTAAAATTTGTTATATAGAATTTCATATAAAATATATGAAATTTTAGAGAAATTCAAATTTTCATATAAAATATATGCGTACTAAATTTCAACTTTTCTCCAAAACCTGAAGACAATGCACACGTGCTGATTAATTTTAAATAGTATCTATTCATGTTATCTGAATAATGGTTTGTAAGCTAACGTAATGCTAGGCTAATATCAGTTCTTCGGTTTATAAAAGAAAATCGAAATTATTTCTAAATGTAGTTTTAACTAAATTATAGTGTAAAAATGATTTTGTTCGAACATTCGGACAATAAGAGAAAACACATGTTAATGTTACTTACTCGCTTTAAAAAAATTTAATAAAACTTATATAATTTCAAAAAACGAGAAAAATAAATTTCTATGTAATATATAATTAGGTATTTGATTTGGTTCATAAAATTATAAAAGTTTTGTAAACAGATGCATGGACAAATGCACAGAATGAAGCAAACAACATTATCTGCTCTAATATTGTAAGAAATGTGTTAAGATATTTAATTGTCCTTAGTTAGTTGTTTAACTCAGAATTTCCGCGGGATAATATACAATGAAATTGCAGTTATAACAATGGTAGCCAAATTTTAAAGAATTTACAGAATTCAATAAAAACATTGAATTTTAAATTTTTTATCAAAATAACGGTGCTTAAAATTGTCAAATTAATATCAAAAACTTGCAAAATTTCTGTTGCACCAAGAGTGAAAAAATACTAATGGTCATATAGTTGTTATATAATGAGATAAAATATATTATGGTTATTACAACACTATAAGCCAAACTGCAAGACTAATTACAAATTTTCTCCATTTTACTAGAGATAGCTTAGAATTAAGCCTAATTACAAATTTTCTACAGTAAAATGGATCTCCATTTACTGGAGATTTGGAGGAAAAAATTTGTAATTACCTTTAAAGGAAAACGAATTAGTAAGTATTTTCTTTTCGTTTTAGAGAAAAATTTTCTGAAATTTTTGACGAGTGACAAAAATACTTTGCTGGATTTATTTACTAATATTATTACAGTTCCTCCATTATACCTGTTAAACTACTGAGCTAAAATTATTAAGAATGGGTTCGATTACAATTTATATTTCCAGATCTGCGATTTTTATTTTCTAGCGCAACCTAAAATTTTGAATTATTTTAAGCCATAAAAATATTTATATATATACATAGGACGTTTGCTTTCTAAATGCTCTGTTATGTAAAGTGTGTATGGCTTCTAAGGTTTCTATATGTACTATTGTATAAGGCCTCATGCGTAGCTAAAATTATTATATTTATTTAATTTATTTGATTGAAAAAACACACTGAAATGAGCTCAGTAGCTCGTAGCGAGCGCATAGAATATGAAGCTATATTCATAAATTCATCAGGAATTATAAGAAGAATGTCAGAATCTATTCAGTTGTTAACATTGATTTAATATTAAAATTTTACGTACCAAAAGCTCTAGAGCAAAAGGCAACCTTATTATTGCACAACAATGCACTTAAAAAGCAAACATCATATCTTACAAGACAAAAACACAAAAAATTTTTAAATATAATAAGTTAAACTTATTAACTCGAACAATTCGAAATATTGGAAATATATTCGAAATAGAGAAAATTCGCAAATAAACAAACATATACAAAATATTTGAGAATGATAAATTAGAATTAAAAATAAAATATCTAACTTCAATTCGAGTTAAGAGGAGTTTAACTGTACTAATATACATATACACAAAATCAATATACATACATATATATCCCTATTTCTTTTTTATTATATATTAATATATAAAATAAATTTTACAGAAATTCAACGAAATCGAGAATTTTATAAGAATGCTGATGTGAGACCACCCTTTACTTATGCATCTCTAATTAGACAAGTATGTAACTTAATATAATTATTTATATATTTATAAAAAACTTATTAGAACTTATTTATGTGTATTAAATTTTAGAATAATTATTGAAAAATATTTAAGAAGTAAATTGAAAATTCAGTTCTTGTACTTATAAAGTACAATATTACTCAGCATATTCAATGTATAAGCTGAATTCAATAACATACCGTGGCTTAAAAGTATAACAGTAATACACATATGAGTTGTGTTTTGCTGAATTGTATTTCAATATACAGTATTACTGCAACTTTGAAATTACGATTATTCATGTGACTGAAGTTGTGTTCTAAATATTACGATTATACCGTATTACGATTATATTGTATATTTGTTAAAAGAATCAAATATCGATCGCCTTGACGTTATTACCATAATAATGCTGAATATTGAAATTTTTCCTTCACTCAAAAATTTTCAGAAAAAATTGAAATATATGATTTTTACCACTTTTAGTCAAATTGTATCGCCGATGAGCAAATCTAAATTGCTTTATATTGATCCCGCGCTCACTAATGAACGTTAAAAACTCTAAAGTTGCAATATTATTGGAAAATTTTTATTAATTGAAATTTTAGTTTGGATTCTCATTTATTTTGTGTTGAAAAATGTCAAATTCTTGCCAATGAACAATGCAATTATAAAATTGTATTGCTGAATAAAACTAAATTTACATTTGATTAGTATTTTAATGGGACGGGATCTTTGAACTCTTAAAATATCAATATGAAATTTTCATAATCAATAAACGTATATGTTGCGTTACTGAAGTAAAAAAAAAATATTTAAAATATGAACTACAAAAAAACGACAAACTAGAAAAAGTGGAATTTTTTTCGCGGCTTAAGAAATTCAGTAATACATTATTGTTACACGATTCAGCAATTACAACTCATAAACTGAATTATATGTTTAATATACCGTATAATTTCAATTTTGCAAAATCAACATTGTATAGTTTTTATACAATGCACCTTTATAAAGGATATATTAAATTTTTACTCAGCGTAAAATTTTACGTTGATTTAGATTTGTCCGTCCGCCAAACACCAAACTTTAACAAATTATTTAATTTTCCGCCACTCTATTGTAATTGGACCAATTCTATTGTAATTAAACTATGGCAGTTCGGGCTGTAATACAACTCAAAATGCTAATATCAAAATATTTGAAAAAAAAAATAAAACTAGCCGCATGAAATTTGGCAGTCACGTGTCCAATTATACGTCAGACATATCCGTGAAGTTTTCATGGAATAGTTTGAAACGGGTTTCAGTAACCATGACAATTTTATTCTAAATATTTTAAACATAAGTATTTATGCTCAGATTGGCAAGTATATAATTTAGTCGGATTAGACCAATTGAAAAGCTTTTATTTTATTTTTTCCATTAAATTCGAAAATTCAATTTAATGTTAATAATTGTTTTTATATTCTTTCTTTTCTTTTTTCATTTTAATTAATTAATTCTTTTAACTTTTAATAAATATAAAAAAATATAGTCTATTATAGAATCACCAGACAAACAATTAACATTAAATGAAATTTATAATTGGTTTCAAAATACATTTTGTTATTTTCGAAGAAATGCAGCCACATGGAAGGTAACTAAAATAATTCTTATATGTAATAAAAATAGTATAATAAAAATAGATTGCAATAATTTGAATTGTTAATTACAATAAAATATAAGTTTTGTTTTTAATTTTTGTATTACAATTTTCTGCTTTTTTTTTATTAAAATCCTATATTTTTATAATAAAATGTGTTTTTTGAATTTTTTATTTCTTAAAATTAAGGAAATCAACTTATGCCGACGAAATATTTTCTATATTGTGTTATAATACAATTCAGCAAATAACACTCATCAGCTGAATTGTAAAAAAAATACAATGATACAGCAAATTTGTATGTCCCCGACATCCGAAGTGTAAATGCTGAATGCCAATTTCCGAATTGTGTATCGATACAGTATTATTACAATTTCGATGAAAGAGTCCCAATTATATCCTAAATAAAATAATTAATATATCAAACGGATTTAATGAAAAAGTAAAGGATATTAAATTTATATGTATAAATATAGGATTATAGTGCAAAGAGTACCAAAATGACCACGATAACCGACTGCTACTTGCCATTCACAAGATCGAAAATAACCTAATTTCAAAATTGACGTAGTATGACTCTACTAATACACGCAATTCAATTTGTGTTTGGTAAAATGGCGGATTCTAATTGAATTTTCGATCCGATATAACACGTTGATAAATTTCAAATTTTCGGAGTCTAAAATTAAGTATGGTGGTCGGTTGATAAAACAAAGGTTATATTCCCAAAAAAAAAGCAGAAAATTTTACTTTTTTTTCTTAATTTATTTTTATCATATTTTATTTTATACTACATACTCGTAGTATGTTTATAATAATGTAGGAGTACAATATAAATTAAAATTAGAATGCATTCCTACAATAAAATATAGAAAGTATTATGTAAGTTTATAATTTCAAAAATGCAATTATGCTTAGCTACTATCAGCAATTCAGTAGTTATTATATATATATGCTGAATTGCTGATACATTATTTTAGCTTATTATTATAATTCAGCTTATATAATGACAATTGCTGAATTGCTAATACATTGTTATGCGATATATTATTAAAATTTGCATAAAAACTTGACTGAACTTAATGATGCATAATTAATCTTTGTGATCAAATATTGTTACAATTTTTCTTTTATTTGTAAATTATTCCTCTTTTATACTGTTATATAATTAATAGAATTTAAATTTTCTGCTATATTATTTTCTGTACATTCTAAATATCTATATATATAAAAAATCATAATGTAAATCCGCGCTTTTATAATAATTTCGAAATTGCAGAAACAACATGTTAATATACAATTTGAGCAATGAAAACTAACAAATTATGTATCGTGTATTTATAGAGCTAGCTTAGAGCTAGTATTTATAAAGCTATAGTATTCAGCTTAAAAGTGTGAATTGCTAAATTGTGTATTAATAGCATTACTTCCTTATATTACCGCAATTTCCAGATTCTTCATGATTCTTCCTTATATTATATCTTCTTATATTAATTTTTTACATCGCTTCATTTGGATAATACAACAATGGTAAAATCGGTTTCTCTTAAAAACAAATCAGACACTTTAATTAAAATTTTATTTCAACGAATTTTTCAATATAATATCTTTGGCATTTTATTTACAATAATATCATATTACAGCATAATTCAGCAATTAACAGCTATAAGCTGAATTATTTAGTAATGTAGTAATAACTACAAATTCAATATTAGAGTATTTGTAATTTCAAAATTTTAATAATACTGCAAATAAAAGCACATATTAAGCTAAAATGCGCATTATTACCCTTATTACTAGTATTTTGAAATATTATAATTTTAAGCAATAAATTATTTATCATATGAATTGTTAATGGATTTTTGTTCATATATATACACATAATTTAAAACCCCATTTATATATACATAAAAGTAGATATTTGTATATAAAATTAATTATTATCTTGTACAATAATATGTTAATTTTTATATATTATGATTTCTAATAAAATACATTTTGGCTATATACGTTAGTAATATAGCTAACTAATTTCAAAAAAATTTAAGATATTTCGTCTAATATTCATTAATATAATATAAAATTCAGCAATACGAAAACAAGCTTTATTTTGTATTATCATAATTGAAATGTAAAATAAATTAAATATTTATGAATTTTTATACAATTCAGGAATATAAAATGTATTGTTGAATTTTCTAAAAAAAAATATTATATTTTGCGGATATTTTGAATTTTATTAAAATTTTAATTTTTTTTTTTGGTATAAAATGTACATTTTTGTTTTTTGTAACTTTTCCCGCTTATTGTATTAAACAGAAAATATTTTTTTTGTTCTGTTATTTGTATAAACTTTAAATTATCCCGTAATAGCAAAATTACACTAATACTGTATTAATACACAATTCAGAAATTATTACAACTCATAAGCTGAATTGTGTTATATTACTACTATATTACTGTAGTTTTGAAATCAGGGATTCTTTGCTATTATTATGTATGTATATTTCAATGATTACGTTATTATAATTTATAATTTGATTTTTATGAAAACTTAAATTTAATATTTTATAATTTGTATACCTCATACGTATAAGTATATATGTAAGTGTATATAATATTTATTTACATTTATTATTTATTTATGTATGTATGTAATTAAATTTTTATTAAGTTTTTCTTTGAAACTATAAAGAAAAACATTGAATAAATAAAATATTTTGACAAACAAAATGGCGATAATATTATCCTTGGCTTCCAAAAATTATAATCATAAGCTGAATAGTATATTAATACCGTATTACTGCATTCTGGAAGTCAAGGTATATTCATACAGAATTCCGCTAAGAAATTTTATACATATATATGTACACATGTATATATACACAAAGTGATTCAGAAAGGTATACAACACAATATACTATTAGTTAGAGGGTCAAAAATGGGTAAAATTTGGACTAGGTACAAAATACTTGAACAAGTAGAAGTTTCGTGAAAATTCGTTAAAGTCCGTGTAACTCGGAAACACTTGAGTAAATCGCAATCTAAATAATTAATTAATTCACCTAATCCAGAATAAATGTTATACTAATTTTTGACCCTCTAACTAATGGTATATGTGATTGTATACCTTATAACGCGTAGGTTAATATCAAAAAATATAAAATATTCGAGTTATCCCGTTGTAGCATTAACTTCTCGATATATAGTTGAATTGTGTAGTAATACACCTTGACTTCAAATTGGCAGTATAGGTCGGTTTTAGTACACAAAAATTCTTATATGATTTAAATATTACTAGATCACGGTGATTTTTAATGTTATATACAATTTATATGATTTAAGTCATCTCGTCTAAAATTCAATTTTAATGTGTCTGTTTTAATCGATTTTATATTATTACAAATAAAATATTTTGAAAATTGAATAAAATGTTGTTGTATATACATATATTAGCACTCTCTCAGCAAGCAGATAGGATTATATTCTATTACATTCAAGTTGCAGCAAAACTGCGTATACCAGCTATACCGTTTTTATCCCAAACAAAGTGCGATTATTTATATCATAATAACTTTTTCGTGTACCATTTGCTATTATTGCGATTCGAGTAACAGAAATATGTGCATTTATATTTTGCGTGTATAAAAATATTATTCTTGACTTCCAAAATGCAATAATACGCTATTGATATACAATTCAGCAATTCACACTTATAAGCTGAATTGTGAATTCATACCGTATTGCTGCATTTTGGAAGTAAAGATATGTCAACGTATATTTTATTGAATTTTTATCAATAATCTTGTATATAACAATGTATATATATATATACATATATATGTAAAATTAAATATACTGTGTACGTATGTAAATCCAGTTAAAAATTGTTGTATATATGTAATATATAAAAAATAATGAAAAGAAAACAAATTTCTATGAGAAATTGCAAAATAATTATTAAAAAAGATAAAATTTATCAACAATATCCCTGACATTTTATAGTTGCAGTAATACAATATAACTATATACTTAATTCAGCCTCTCACATTCCAATCGCTGAATCAATTAAAAATAAATTACTACGATTTTAATGTCAGGGGAGATAACATCATAACTTTTTTCTATATCTACATATATTTCAACCTATGGAAAAAAAAAAACTGAATACAGTTAAAATAAAAATTAAATAAATTATTTTTTTGAATTATACAAAACCAAAAAAAAAAACAAAAACAAAAAAAAATATAAATTAACCCTAGAATGCAGTACGACACAATTTATCACTTCACAAATGTTTTATGAGGGTTGAAAATGTTAAAGGTGCCGTTTGGACAGTTGACGAAATTGAATTTTATAAAAGAAGACCACAAAGATCTACGGCAGCTGCTGCATTATCATCATCTGTATCAGATAGTGGTCCAACATTTGGGTACGTTTCATCATATTCATCGTTCAATTATTATATTTTACGAACTATGTATGTATGTATAGATCTATTTTATACATATATATATACACATAAAACAAAAACCTACCAGAAATTTTGAGATATTAACAAGAAAAATTAAGCACAATGTTGGCGTAAATAACAAAATATTTAAAAATTTTCCTTTAATCAGTAAATTAATATTTTTGACTTCAAAAATTCGATATAATACTATATTGATGTGCAAATTGTCTTATGAATGTTAATTGCTGAACTGTGTGGCAGTAACGCTGTATTAATATACAATTCAGCCTATGAGTTTTAATTTCTGAATGGTATAGCAATACAGTATTATTGTGTAATTTTAAAGTTACGATATTTATTATACTGAAAAAAAAGTAATTTGAAAATAATTTTTATATTTACGCCAACCGAGGCTAAATTTCCCTTCCTATTTAAAAATACATATGGTATTATGTATATTTAAATTTAAAATATAACATCAGTTTTTCAATATTTTTTTTTTCTCAATTATATATAATGAGACATTAGAGTAAAAATATCTTTTATGTTTCGTAATCTTATCATACTTATATGCACTAATTTTTTTAAATTTAAACTTTATCAATTAAATAATAATAATTATTTTGATTTCCATACAATATCACATTTGAAATTCTGTATATTTAAAATGACTTCACTTAACACCCGTTTTTTGAATAAATTTAACTTATATTGTTATATTGCTGAATCTGTTTTTAATTTCTGTTTTTTCAAAGACCAGAAATCAGCATTGTAGTAATACGCTATTAATATACAACGAGGCTTCTGAATTGTAACTGCTGAATTTTATAGAAAAAAACCTGTTCTACTCTAGTTTTTGAGTCAAAAATAATTATCGTCGGTTCCATATCGGAGTTTATACAGGATGTTCCATATGTAAGTGCGCTATTATACATCATTGTATAGATAGATGAATAAAAAAAATATTTGGTTAGAATTGATGTTCACAGCACAACAGTTCTCGAGTTAAAGTCACTCTTAAAAAAAAGTCTGTTTTTTTTTATTATTTAAAATTTTAAGTATGTGCCAGAAAAATGCATTATCAAATAAAATTTAAAAATCTCAGAACAAGCGAAGCTGTTCAGATTCCAGACAATCACATAATTTTAAAGTCCTAAAAATTTGAAATTTCTCTAATTTTCTCTAATTAAATTAACAATTTCTATGATTTTACTTTAATTGGTAATTCTGTTAACTAAGCTTTAGTTAATTAAGTTTATATATGATTCATCTTTCTATTTCTTAAAATTTTTTCAATAGCTCATTGAGAAAAATAAAATACTGCAAATGTTTTTTTTTGTATAAATTTTTTATTTCTTCAATACCTTAAGAAGATATGTAAGAAGTGTTCAAAAATAATATGTCTCTTCTGTTATGTAAATGTTTAACTTTGCAAACTAAGTTTCTCTCAAATTTGCAAAAACTAATGACCCATTGCATGCACTTAGATACGAAACATTCTGTATATAACGTTATAAATTTTTTTCAAAATATTTAGTATCTTTAATTTTTTTCTATTATGGCACGGAGCGAGTCATTTAAATTGGCTATAATATTGCATTTGCACTTTCACCTTTAAAATTATGAAATTCTGAATTAAAAAAGTAGTATAACATTTTGTAACTATTTGGATATAATTGGCATAATTGGCTTCTACGATACTCTTTCGTTCATTAAAATTTTGCTGGAAAAACAAATTATCGAATTTAAAATATAAATAACCTAATTTCCAAATTGCAGTAATATAATATTTATATTAAACTCAGTTTATGTGTTCTAATGGTTGAATTATGTATTTATGCCGTATTGACACCACGAATATGTATTTTGAAGTCACAAATAGTGATAATTGTTATAATACGTAATTACAACTTTATATATATTAATATATGCAATTAAAAATAAAATATACAGTTATACAGTTTAAATTTAAATAAAATTAAGGGCATATAAAAAGACGTCTCATTATTTTACGAGTTCTCAATTTTATCAAATCTCATTATATATATATATATAGATACATTTCTTAAAATTACTTTTCTTTTCCATTTTTGAAATTTATATTTATTACTCTCTCTATTTTTGTATAATTCAACAATTTTATTAACAAATTATATTAAAAAAAAAATGAGTTTTTTTACTAAAATTTTTTTAATTCTAATTTAAATATTTTTGATATTATTAAGAAAATAAAAAAAAAAAATAATTAAACGAAAAAAAAACTAAAAATTTTTTATGTATTTTTTATGTTTTTAATTAAATTTTTAACTTTTCAAATAAGCAATTCAAATTTTTAATATTCTTTTTTAATTAATTATAATATTCTATTAATTTTATCTTCAATAATCAGTTTTATTATATATTATATATTATATAATGTATATATGTGTTTATGTTAAATAAATAAAAATATAAATTATACTAAAATTACTTATATAGAAACAAAAAAAAAAGAACAACTGAAAAATTAATTGTAAAAATGACTTCAAAATTGCAGTAATACAACATTGATACAAAATTCAACTTCTTTTTGTTGTAATTACTGAATTGTGTACCAATAGAGTATTATAGCAATTCTGAAGTCACTAAAACTATCCTGACTATCAAGTTGCAATAATAAGCAGATTATTAATCATGCATTTCAGCACTTATAATTAATTATAACTGCTGAATTGTATGTCAATGTAGTATTTTTGCAATTTTCAAGTTACGAATACCTATAAATCTATTGTTAGCTTCATATATATTCAAAAATTAACATTTAAATGCTTCTAATAAATTTTACATACATAGTAATAACATGATTTTTAAATTTAATTCAACTTATACATACATAAATACAATTAAATTCAGCTTGAATTTGAAAACTGCGTATACAATAAAGAACAAGCTTAAGTGTAACTCAAAAATACGCAAAGCGATATCACCAAAGTAAGCGATTTATTAATTTCGAACGCATTCGTATAAATATACATATGTATATGTTCGCATAAATTTTCAATATATAAAACCAATAATATAAACTGGAATTAGGATATATTCAAAACCTAACCTGAAGTCATTATACCCGTACGAACGTATGTTCGAAGGGTATACTAAATTTGCCTTACCGTTTGTAACGCTAAGAAATAAGAGTGTTAGATATAGACTGAAGTGTATGTTTTTGATCAGCGTCAAATTCTGAGTTGATTTAGCTTTGTCTGTCCGTCCGCCCGTCCGTCCCAACGATAACTTAAAAACTAATTGAGCTAAGTTCATCAAATTTTCACAAATGATTTATTGTAGTAAGTGTCAAAACCCTATTTAAATTGGACATGATCGGGGTACCGGTTCGGGTAGCTGCCATACAACTTCAAAATTTATTTGGCTATATCCCAGAAACTATAGAAGTTGTGGTATTGAAATTTCACACAAACGAATATATTAGTACGGCCAATAAGTCTTATAAAAGTCGATGAAATTTCTTGGCTCCTTCTGGTACCTGCCATGCAACTTCACAAGTTATTTGACTATATTTCAGAAACTATAAAAGCTTTGGTATGTAAATTTCACACAAACGAATATATTAATAGGGCCATTATTTGAGATATACAAAAGTTATTTGGCTATATCTCAGAAACTATAAAAACTGTGATATTGAAATTTCACACAAGTGAATATATTAGTAGGGCCGATGTGCTTGATAAAATTTGCTAAAATTTCTTGGCTCTTTCTGGTAGCTGCCATACAACTTCAATAGTAGTTTGGTATCAGTATTTTGAAAAACACATAGTACTGAAATTTTGCATAAATTAATATGGCACATTAGTTATTCGCACATAGGATAACAAATTCGTACGGGTATCACAGAGTTGGCAAGATCAACTCTATTTTTTTTCTCGTTTTAAAATGTTTTTAATAAAAAATGTTACGCTTTATTAATGTATATGTGTGTATATGTGTAAGGAGTACATTTTATTAAAAAAAATTAACTGTAATATTAAAATTTCATATTCTATTACTAAGAGGCCATTTTTTCGTATTTTATAACTTCCCTCCCCAAAAAGATAGAAGCTTCCAAGGAACGTTTCTGAAAGGGCTTGTATTTCAATAAAAATCTTAAAATTCATTTTTTTTTGTCAGAATAACGCTTATTAAAAATGTCAATTGCTTTTTAGAGTGGCTATTGTGATCAAAGATAAATACTAGTTGTATATAACTACAGCACCTAAAATCAATAAAAATTAAAAATAGTTGATTTTTAATTTTTACCAATTTTTTGATTTTTTACATTTTATTAGGGCTTTTAAAATTTTGACATAGAAATGATTTTTGTGCTATATCTCCTGTACCATTAAAGGTTTTTTAACGTTTCATAACTTAAATTAAAGCTTAAGCAACTGGACAAAATTTTGTACAAAGTTTCAAAAAATTTCGTACAAATTGATCATGCTAGAGTTCGAATTCTTGGTATTCCGAAGGTACTTAAGTTTATGAGTAAAGCTAAACTAAAAAAAAATCTTTTTTTTTTAATATTACTTTATTTTATACGCGTTATTATGATTCATGTACGAATTATTTTTCTTTGCTGATTTTATTCATTTTGCAGAAAAATATAACAAAAGAATAATATTATAAATAAAGAAGCCTGTTATCGCTTCTCCTGCGTAACAGGCTTATTAAACTTATGAAAAAATAACCTAAAATTTCATACGAACATAGATCTTTACTTGAAACTTACGTAGAAGAAAATTTTTACCTACCTCACACCGTCTAAAAGTTATAGCCCCACCAAAACCCTAAAAATGCTATCTTTTCGCTATTTCTCGCAGCGAATCCATAAGTATTTTTCAAATTTCGCAAACGCAGAACAGTAGTAGCAAGCTTCTTCTGTCGCGGAATGCCATATTTAAATTTACTTTAATGCCATTTTAAATTACCAAACTCTTGATATCGCTTTT